TTTATATATGGCTTAAAAATGAAGGAAATCTCTAAACATTTAAAAAAGTTGCTCTCTTTCTCCAAAATCTAAGTGGAATTGTGTGGGGCTTTTTTTTTTATTAAAGTAATAATCTTGCTTCTAATTAATGAATAAAAAATACACTTTTTGTTTTAAACACAACAATTAAATGTTTCACTTTAAAACAGTCAAATTGATAAACTTTTTAAATAACTGTATTGATACATCTGGTGGTTGTCTTGCTTGTTTTTATGTTTTGTAGATTTGTAGTTTTGAACATCATTCCATGATTTTTGCCCTGAAAATGACAGAAAAAGCTACAAAGTATTTACACATTCAACAAGTAATTCCAGATAGAGTTCCAAAGTTCAATATACAGTATGTGACGTGATTCTGAAATAATATGATTAATTAAAAATAAAAAGCCTTATCCTAAAAATGGCTACTGAGAGTTTTTTTAAAAAAGGTTTTATTATACCTAGTGGCCTTTATTTGATAGTTAGTTGACAGGAAGGTGGGTAAGAAAAGAGGGGGAAGACATGCGGCAAAGGTCACCAGGTCAGGAATTGAGCCTGCAACAGCCACGTCGAGGACTGAGGCTTCCATATGTGGGTTGTGCTTAACCACTGCGCCACCACAGCACACCCCCTACTGAGAGTTAATTCTTTTGAGTTGGGATGTATTTTACTTAAAGGTTTTCGGTACAAATTTGACCAGCGAGTCAGTGTTGCAGCTTCTTTAACACGTTCCAACAATGGCACTTATCCATTATGTGTTTTAATATTTGTAAGCTAAATATGATTGATTTGTTTCTCACATTCATAGGGAAGCACAGGAACAAGATGGAAACTGACTAGAAGTTCTTAATTTCCCAACATGTTATTTGCTGACGATACTGTGCAAGGAGATTTATTCGACATCATTCCTCTTCAGTGGGGCAGTGTTATTTCAATCTGGAGAGACTCAGACGGAGAGAGGGAAGCAGTTAAAAGGGTTTAATGACAAAAATAACGTGGAAATAAACACAAAGTTCTTTGGCGATCAGGCCCCGGCCGAGGACTTCGAGCTGGACTTCGATAAGCTCGATGAACATTCCTGATGCAGCGAGGGAATATGAACCCCTCGGGGCCTGTTCCGGATGGCGGCGGTCAGAGGATGATGAGGCCTGAGAGCCGGGAGCTGAAGGTGGAGGTGGGGTGGCGGTGGGTTGATCGGGGCTGGTAAGCGGAGGAGGCTNCCGATCATGCACTTCTTCACGGAAATCGGCCCGATTATGATCGGTGACCGATCGATCGCCACACCTCTACTAAATATGATTGATTTGTTTCTCACATTTATAGGGAGGCACAGGAACAAGATGGAAACTGACTAAATGCTCTTAATTTCCCAACATGTTATTTGCTGACGATACGGTAAGGAGATTTATTCAACTTCATTCCCTTTCAGTGGGGCAGTTTTATGTTTGTTGCGGTTTTTAAGAAACTTAAAACACCTTGATGCATTTATAGGGAGGCACAAAAAAAGTAAGCTCCGCTTTCAAAATTTTGATTGTTTTTTTGAGTTTCAAGGGCCCCATCAGTTACCTCAGCAACAAAGACACTCCTGAGATACTTCAATCTGTTTGTATCCGTTTCTTTTATCATTGAACATGCATTCCTTTTATCATTTAACACACATTTTAAGTGTTGTACAGTCAAGTAATGAAGACCTTTATTACAAAGGTAAACAAAATACCAATTTAGATGCATAAAGTCACAGGTTAAATAACTGTTGTTATAAAACCTATTATAGTTTTACCTTTGCATCATCTTTACTCCACAGGTTCTTGAAGCCTGAAGACTAGAGGAGGAACTAGTTGAAGCACTTGCACTTTGGGGGCGGCGAAAGGCAAACCTCACAGGAGCTTCAGCTTCAGCTGAGGTATCACTAGTGGTCTCACCATGGACCTCATAGTGACTACTGCCTCTTAGTTGAGAAGTTTCAAAAGCCCCTCCCTCACCAGGCAACACACCTCTGTTGTCGTCTACTGTCAAAAACAAGAGTCTGCACGCACCTGAAAGAAAAGAAAAAGTTGGAGTAACTAAATGGTAAATAATAAATTCATTTGTTATAAAACATGGTGTGGTTTGCCCATAACACGCTTACTTTTTATTACTTCAAATGTAAAATTTCTGATGTCGTATTCGCCCTACGTGTTATTCCAAATTCCAAAACACTCGATGCCAATGATTAAAAACATAAACATTAGATTAAAAAACAAATCTGGACTATTAAATCCATGAGTAAACTAAGAACTCAGCAAGAAGCATTAGCGTTGGCCTACGGTTAATTATTGTTAAACATACACTGAAGATTATCAAATGTAACGACTTAAATACTTACTTGGAATATTAAAGAAATCTTGTTGATTGTAAGATCATCAGCTCTCAGTGAAATGCCTCGATTCCCTCTAAATAAGACAAATGTATCCATTTTTAAACTGGTATATTCTGCAGCACTAACTGAAAAAGTTCTTCTTGTGGATTTTAATGGCGGTTGGCAAGAAACTCAAGGTGTACATTACCACCACCTACTGGTAACAGTTATGTGCAGGGAGTTCAGGTCTTCCATTTCCGGTTCCGCCATAAGGTCCCGTTGAATTAACATCAAAATAAAAGCTTGTCTTTGGTTTAACCATTGCAGTTAAAAAAAAAACAAAAAAAACCTACCCCCTTTTTCCAATTGCCGTTTTTCTAATTTCGTTTTAAAAATAAAAAAACACATGCTTGTTTTGTTTTTCCGATTTTATTTTGAAACGAAAAAACCAAAGAACGAACCATACCCGGATTCTTGTGCTTCAAATCAAAGTATTTTTTTCTCTGATAATCCTGAAGGGTTAATCCCGTTTCTCTGAATCCAGTGCTATTTCAGCAGGAAAACATAGGCAGGTCATACCAGTTTGGATGATTCGCAACGTCCAGCAGAGGGCGTAGCTCCTGCTAGACGGCGGTCACAGGGATCCTGGGTTACGGTACGCCATCTTGTTTCTCAGGAGCGGAATGCAACTCAGCAATCGACTCGGAATTTCCCGGTCCAATTTCCAGCAGAACCTCTAAAGGCCTGGTTTAATAACCAACAAAGCATAACAAAAATTTGTTTAACTCTGCTTGGTACTGAATAAAGTAATATATTCGCCGACTTGGCGGTTGAATATTGTGTGTGGGTGGGGGGGACATGCTTCACCCACCCCAGCTCATCCGTTACTTACACAGTTTTTGAACATAAAACAACATAAATGCGCTACTTTAGCTTTCCGTTTCAACAAACTAAAATATCTTGCAAATACATTATTCTCAGAAAGTAAAATACACTTTTTAACTCACTAAATCCAGTTCTGTAACATATAACACAATCCCGAAAGCAGTCAGGTTGAAAAAAATGCAGAAAGTTCCTTCTCCGAAAATGGAAAAAATATTTCTAGACAGCAGGTAGACTTTTAATCGTCGATTTTCTCTGATCTTTCTCTTGCTCACAGCACAGCTCCCTTAGCTTCTTTGTTCTTTTCTTCTTCACGCTCTCTGCTTCTTCTGGCGCCAGAGAACGTAGCGATCCGGTTGGCTGGAGCGAGTCACATGGGCTACACATCAATGTGACCCTTCAGAATAAGAGATTTATCTCACACTTGACCGTTTTAACTGCTGACAAAATAAAACTGTTTTATACGGATTTTTTTTTTAACCAAATAAAATATCATAACATGAAATACAACACTTATCATGATTGTAATTATTACTTTTTATATTTTTAACAATTTTATGACCTGTTTATTCTCCTATTTATTTATTTATGTCCTATCTATTTTATAGCTATTTTTATGAAAAGGCTTACATTTAGTGAGGGTTATGTTAACCTGGGTTATACTACCACTCTCCCATTCCCAAACGACAGGATACCAATGCTAACTCCAAGTGGAGTCATAATCCTGAAGGATAAACTCAAGGCTTTGGACCAAACAGTCGCCTTCACTTTGCTACAACATAGGCTGTGTTCACGCTGCAGCCTGAAGTGACGCTGTACGAACACACCCCAAAGAACAAGAGACAACAGAGCTACAAAAGCCACAACACAATCTGCAACAGAAAAACGATGTTTAACGTGTTTTAGCCTTGAGCATTCGAGTACGACCCGTTGGTTTTTTTGTATTTATTAGTTCAACAACTGTTCAACTGTTGTTGTATTTTTATTGTTGCTCGACAACAATAAAAATACAACACAAAAAATAATACTGGCAGTACTACAACAAAATACAAAATGGAAGTAATAATAAAACTGACATAAAAACATTAAAAAATAAATTTAAAAATAAAAGTGCTCAGTCAGACTCAAGCTCAAGTCATGCTATTACCTTTAAAAACACTAAAAACAATGAATGAGAGACAACAGTCTTCTGGACCTGAGTCAGGTTGCTATAGCAACATTGTCCATGAACACTAACCCTTCAAACAATAGAGACAGACATGTTTTATTGTTTTAAGTTTTATTTTACACTGCAGTTTTTCATCCGCTCAACAAGTCTTTATGTTGATGCCACCATCATTTTTGCCTCCAAGTTGATTAATCTGAGAATGTCTTTTTTGGTATATTGAACAATAAATGTAATTTAATTCGGTGTGCAATTTGTTGTGTTTTGCGGCTGTTTGAAGTACTTTGCGTGCTTAAGTTTGCATCGCAAACCTTATCTCACCCTGGTTACCATTTGTGGATTGACTCATTTGGGTTTGTAAGCAAAACAAAAGATCCCAAGAGAAAAGCAGCTTTAATATGTAGCCTAACCGACAGGAAATGCTCAGTTAGATCGTCGCTATCAGCGACATGTTCTTTGTTAAAAAAAACTGGGCAGGTCTTTAATTAGCTCCATTGTGAATAAAGCAATATAAAATTTTTTCAGCGCACTAGGATCAGCTGCTTTCTACATTTTGAGAGAGTACAAACGATGTGCGTTTAAATGTCTGTGTCAGGTTCTGTGACGTTAGCTGTTATTTATTGTGCTGTTTATGATATTATTATGTCTTTGTGAAACACATTTATGGATGGTGAAGTTAATCAAACATATATAACCCTTGAAGGACATGTAGAGTTGGACAAATTCAGATATCTTTATTTTACAGTCATGCTAGCAGCATATGTTTGCATCGTCGTCTGTAACCTGACCATTGTGTATCTCATATGGACGCACAGAAACCTCCATGAGCCCATGTACGTTTTCATTGCTGCTTTGCTTCTGAACTCTGTTGTTTTCAGCACTAACATTTATCCAAAACTGCTGTCAGATTTTCTATCTGAGAAGCAGATTGTATCGTATTCAGCTTGTTATTTGCAGTTTTTTCTCTTTTATTCTCTAAGTGGCTCAGAGTTTTTACTGCTGGCAGCAATGGCCTACGATCGCTACGTGTCTATATGTAAACCTTTACAATATGCAACAGTAATGGGGAGAAACACGGTCAGTATTTACCTGAGTTTGGCCTGGCTGGTGCCTGCCAGTGTTCTTGCTGTACAGGTGGTATTGAGCTCCAATATGAAACTCTGTAAATCAAAATTTCAAGGAATTTTCTGCAATAACTCAATTTATAGCGCCCACTGTTTAAATTCAGAGGTGCATGTTGTATTTGGTGCCGTGGCACTGGTTATGATCGGATTCTTCCCTCTGCTTTTCATAGTTTTTACTTACACCAGAATATTTATCATATCCTATCGCAGCTCTAAAGAAGTCAGAAAGAAAGCAGCTCAGACCTGCTTACCCCATCTGCTGGTGTTGATCAGTTTCTCCTGTTTGTGTGCGTTTGATGTCATCATAGTCCGACTGGGATCCAACTTTACAAAACTAGTGCGTTTAATAATGACTTTACAGGCAGTTCTGTATCATCCTCTGTTTAATCCAATCATATATGGTTTAAAAATGAAGGAGATATCTAAACAATTGAAAAGGTTGTTCTCTCAAGCTAAGGTCCTATAGTTGTGACGCTGATGAATTGATATAAACATTAGATTATTCAATACTTTGTTCTGCACACAGATTATTAGCATTCCAAAATCAACTCTTTATGTTTTGCATTGTTTGTTTAAGACTTATCAGATCTTAAATGTGTAAGTTATGCCACAAACAATAAAGATTAAACCAGTTACAGTCGATATCATGTTTGAGGTTTTCAGGACTGAAACGAGGCCTCGTGTGGCCACATTGTCTTTACTTGTCATTTGTTTTCCTGCTACAAAATACATTTGATTTGATATTGTACCAATGTGTTTACGTCCAATCATAACTTTAAAGTGTTACCTGGAATCAGACTTGGAACAAACTGAGTTTAAAGGCAAAGTTTATTCTTTTCAGAAATACTCTCTATGATTTCCTGGGTACAGTGAGGCATTTGCTTGAATGATCCAAGACAGATGGAAAACCACGCAAACAGAAAATGATCTAGGTTAATTACAGGAAATGCTTTTCTTAGCTATCAGTAAAAATGGAAATTGTGCGTTCGGTCTCGGTTATCAATAAATGCCCACCTGCTAGAAACGCTCAACTAAACAACTGAGAACAAGATACAAGAATAAACTTTTGACTTGAAAATACATTTAAACACTTCATATCAAGATACATGCTTTATGGTGCTTAGGCTGAAACAAAATGCAGACACAAACTTTAGATATGACATCATTTAGTATAATGATTAACTGTACACGGAGGTTAAGGGCCTTTTGACATTGAGTTTCAACTAAATAATTTTTTGTGAATTGCTTTCCCAGTGCTATTATTGCATAATGCTGCAGTGTATGTCAGATGAATCACAGGCCTCCAGAGGTGAGATCTTTGGAGGGAAATGCCGTCCGATAAAAACACAACTTCCCCTTGGCGCAAACAGTTCGCTTTGGAAACTGTGCAGAGTCAGATACAAACTCTGCCGATAAATAAATGCAAGATGCCTGCAGTGTTTTTGTGAGAACATTCATGGATGATCATTTGAACGAACACATTTATGGATGAGTTAAACGACACCCATATAACTCTTCGTGGATACGTCGAAATGGAGAAATACAGATATCTGTATTTCACGGTTATGCTTTTAGTTTACGTCTCGATAGTTTGCAGCAACGCCACCATCGTGTACTTGATCTGGACTCACAAAAACCTCCATGAGCCGATGTACATCTTCATCGGCGCTTTATTGTTTAACTGTGTTATTTACAGCTCCACTTTTTACCCGAAGCTTTTGACCGACTTCCTCTCTGAAAAGCAGGTCATACCGTACTCTGGTTGTGTCTTTCAGTTTTTCATGTTTTATTCTGTAGGTGGATCAGAGTTCTTACTGTTAGCAGTCATGGCTTTTGATAGATACGTGTCGATATGCAAACCTCTGAGATATTCAACCATCATGAGGAAAACTACGGTGAAATGTCTCCTGGTTTTTGCTTGGCTTTTCCCTCCGTGTCAGCTTGCAGTTCAAGCAGTGCTGTGCGCTAAAGCGAAGATATGCAACCTTAATTTGGAGGGAATATTTTGCAACAATGCCATTTACACAGTTCACTGTGTTAGATCAAGAACGGCTACGATAGTTGGGCTTGCTGTTTTATTAGACGTTGCAGTGCTCCCGATGCTTTTCACCGTTTTTACATATGCAAAGATTTTTATAATGGCTTATCAAAGTAATAAAACATTTCAGAGAAAGGCGGCTGAGACCTGCGTTCCTCACTTGTTGGTTCTGATCAGCTTTTCGTATCTGTGTGCGTATGATGTAATCATAGCTCGAGTCGAGTCGGATCTTCCAAAAGCTGCACGCTTCGTGATGACGCTGCAGCTGTTTCTGTATCATCCGCTGCTTAATCCCATAATATACGGGCTCAAAATGAAGGAAATTTCTAAGCATCTGAAGAGATTATTTTGTTCTAACAAAGTTTAATTGTGTCTTTGCTTTCATTTGTTAAAAACACACTGTTCTCTGTGAGACCAAAACGTTTGAGCCATATTTACTCGGCTATCCCCTCCAAATTATCCTGTGTGACATGTAAAATTGTTTTACATTCTGATGATACAGAGTTGTTTATGTTTGCTGCTGTGTTTACAAAATGACTGGTTTCTAAAAGTGACACATTTAGTCACTTATTTCTTCGTTCTCATGCTCTGGAAACTCATTATTATTCTGACAGTTACAGGAATATGTTTCTAAAGCTCTTCT